CTATTACTGTTGAGGGGAATACAAAAAGCCTTGAGACCAATGGACAAGAAGACCTGATGTAATTTAAGCTCAGTGGCCTCAGGGGAATCAGTATATTGAAGAGGTTTTATTAAAACAGAGGGAGCATAAAGAGTAATAGCATATAATGTAGAGCATTTTTGACAATCTTATGTGATTCAGGTAATGGGATCCTGCACACCTGTGTCTGTTGTGCAAGTGGAAAATTAGTTTGGGGGGAGTCATTATAACAAGAGCTGCTCTGTGATTTTGCTGTCATACATGACAGAGATGACATACGAAAAGGGAGCGGTAATTGCATTTTTTTCCCTCCCCTTTCTCTCCCCCAGTTCATATTACAGGAGAAATATGAGAGGGCTGCTTGTGTGAAGGGTCGTCTGTGGCAACTTTGACAGCCAATTTAGTCCTGCAGAAACAGACCTCTCCCTCCAGCAACTGGGGGTTAGAACTGTCACACATGCACCCACATAGAAAAGACCTCTCTCTTCTTTTTTAACCCCATCACCCATCCTTTTCTATCTCCCGTAGTCTTGTCTTGATTAGAGGCAAAGGAGATTTGTCGCTAGAAAGCTCCTGTATACAAAAAAAACCTGGACTGTTTTTTTCTGGGGGGTTTCTTGTGCTCCACAGCTTTATAGAAACTGCACTAGTCTTTCCACTAGAGTGTTTTATTGTTTGAAAAAAAAAAATTCTATTATGGATTTATGAAGATAAAAGAATCTCTGGACCGATCACTGTGGACAGAGACGAATGGTTTCATATTTTGGAATTGGAATACTGTTTTTTATTGGGAGGGGGGCTTTTTTCTTATAATGCTGAAACTGCTGAAGGGCAATAGAATATGGCAAAGGTCTTAAACTTTTCCCAGTTAAAACGCAGTTTGACTGTCCTCCTTGTTTTGCTGAAAAGGGCCAATATAAATCCTCTCCACTCTGATGTCAGATGATTTAAATTATATTCCTTATGTGGTAATACTTTCTCTTTGTGCTGTTCCTGTATAGATTTTCAGTTAGTCCTTGAAGGACTTTTTGTAAATAAGTATATTATATGTTTTGCCTGAGAGTTAGATGAGAAGATTTTTGCCACTCTCATGTCTGTGCATAAACTACAGGAGCTAGAGCAAAGAGTCAATTATCTTAGCTTAGCATAAAGACTGGACTGGATTATCTTGTTTGTTTTATAAGGTTGTGTACACATTAAACAAAGATGTAACAGAGTTCATTTCATTTAATTAGTGAGCTTTAGAGGTGCTGGTAGTGCTATTTTAAGACTTTAAGAGAGCCAGGCTATCCGTTTGCCCCTGATTCCAGTCTCAAGTCACTATGCTATGCTCCGGTTTCGTTGCACTGTCAAGACAGTGGCATCAACCTTCTCATTAAGCAAGAGACCAAATAAGCGCATTTCCCAAAATGTCAAACTACTCCTTTAAAAGTGAAAACCGAGGAGACTTATCCTGTGTAGCTTTTCATTGCCCTTCTGGAGAGGTTGCATAAATGTATGAGGGATGAGATGGAGATATTTTGCCTCAGCTGGATACAATGATGCATTAGAAGTATAAGTCACTGATTTAGAGATAAATCCCTTCCATTTGCTGAGCACTGGCAACGCGATGAGATATGGTCATAAGTTTATCGTGCTTCGTGGCGGAGTGTTTGTGCCCACTTCAGCTGCTGTAAATCAACAAGGAGGTTAGAAAAATCACAGCACAGCATCAGATAGCTACCAGTCCTTGGCTAACCTTCACTCTGAGTGTGTGGGTGCGTGTGTGTGTGTGTGTGTTTATGTGTGTGCATGGCAGAGAAGGTCTTTATATTCTATGCGTAGCCATACATTAATGTACAAGATGGGAAATTAATATAAAGCTATAGATATTACACTGTCACGCTCATTTTAACCCCAAACAAGTGAGGCATCATCACTGACAGTCACCTCTCCAGGTGCGCATGCTATGTAATACATTAATTTACTGCAACACACACTCACTGCTACAGGTCAAAGGTGAATGAAATTGCATGTTGCCCCGCTCTCAAAGGCACCACTTAACTCATTTAGCCTTTTCAGAGCTGGTACATATGACTGCAGCTGCATACTTACATGCAAATCAGCAAAGATTGCTGACAAACATACATACACAGACCGATACTGGCACAGATACACACAAACACACACAGACACACACAGACACACACACAAAGTCATACAGTATACCTGGGTTTGGCTTTACTTTTAAAGAATGCCTTTGTTTTCTGATGAAAAGAAGCACAAATCCATGTAGCACACGAACAATAGCAGCATCAAACATAGTGTATGATTAACAAACACTCAGTACAATACACAAGTTGCATTTAAATCCCTACTAACACAAGTTTGAGGTCAGGAGTCAATACACAGGAAGCTAGATCTGGTTTGTGTAACAACACTGCACTAAGCTCACCGGAGCTTTGCTGATCTGCAACTGATCATGTAAACCTTGTGCTTGAGAAGAAAGCACAGCTCTCAGTGGTTGACTGTAATACTCTTTTCTCCTTAAAGTGTATAACAATACACCTGACTATTGAATAAAATATATAAGGCTTTCTTATTAATCTTGCAGGCTCATCGCTCTTAGGAGAAGTTAGAAACTTGGCTGTGTGTGGCGTTTCTCAACTAACCCCTGCAGTGCTGTCCATTTTAGGAAGGGTTGAAAGGAAAGTCAAACCTGTTGGGTTGGCACACAGGTGGGGACTGCAGCCCAGGGCTCTCTGCCCTAAGCAGGAATGTACCTGAACTGTAACTGAGTAGCTCAAATATAATGGCCTGCTTCTGATATCTATTGATATACAACAGATGTGCCAATAGAAGCATATTTTATTTGCTTCTCCCATGTTTTCTTGTTGTGTCAGGATATTTTCCCAGAGAGAGAGGAACCTAAAACTATTTTACAGATGCTTCCGGTGCTCATTATGTTCCCAGAGAATTAAGAGTATTGGGGAAAACCAACAGTCTGTTGCACCAGCTGATCGGAAGTTTGACAATAAGTTTGAGTTTAAAGTGGTGAGACTACACACCCACTGTTAGTTTCACGCTAAACTTTTTGAAGACTATAAGTCTAAACAAATGTTTAAATTTACTGTAACAGTTCACTCCATAAGTATAATATATGTGACTTAGGAATGACTTACCTATTTAGAATAGTTAGTCTCTCACAAACAAAACCAGTGTTTCACAACGCAGCAACAAGAACAGCAGGTCATTGCATTGTTCAACAGACTTTGAATAAACAAGAATTGAGTTGTTCAATTTCCCTCATGTATTAAATAATAATGGAACAATACAACATACTGTTACACCCTGACATATGTATAGTTCTGCAGCTTCTCAAAAGCCATACAAAAGAAAGCTGTGCAATTACAAAGGGGAAGGTAGAGCAGATAATTAGTAGGCATTCAGCAGAAACAGGTTTTGTTATTGTCAGAGCTTGAATGTTCATTATCTGCTGTGAAATAAAATAAAAACAGTCACCTGTCAGTATGACTGCACAAAGTAATTCTGGCTCCTGTTATTGTTTGGAGAAATTGCATGAATCCAAAGGCACAAGCAGCAGCCGCATATTCAAATTAGCTCAATCAAACAACAATAACCACCCACACAGGTCTGCAGTACAAGAACGGCCTGAGAGGGAGAGAGAATACGTGTTTGCTTTGGGTATTTGTAAAATCTCTCTATTTTTTTATTTTTTAATTATAATTGCTTCTGAGAAAGAAAGAAAGCAGTGCTTGTACATTATGGGACTTTGTTGGCCAGAGGGTGGTTAAATGGACAAAATTATGCTTTTAGAAAAATCCTTTCGGTTTTCAGAAAACCTACAGCTGCGGCTCTCTGAGAGACAACTATCACGACAGAGCAGAGGTGCCACTGCAGTAGTTCAAGCTATTATCAACCTCCACAGCACAGCTCGGAGCATCTGAGACTCTCAGTAATGGTAGGGATGAGAGATTTATCTGTTTAATTCTACTTTTGTATTGGCTCCTGACAACTCTGATTCTGCCATATGGCCAGAGGTCTTGGAAAGCACAAAAAATGATCTTCTCATTTTCTTCTGAAGGTTGTTCCACATGCAACAGGCTGCAGTGTGGTTTCTTTTATTTATCATGGTTGTCACTGTGATTCGCGAAAAAAACAGCTTAAGTGCAGTTCACACAAGGAATGGATTTCAAAATGAGTGCTATGAAAATGCCTGAATTAAGCTCCATTGGAATAGCATATATAAATTCTCTCAGCCACTGCATTTATAGAAATCCATGTAAGAAATACAGATTTCATTCTTTAAGTCCTTATTAGAAATTCAGTTTCCAATTTCATAAAACAAGTTAACTTTGATGTGAGGTGTTAGGGCTGTCATGTTTACTCTATATGAGTAGAAGCTAGTCAAACACATTTATATGAAACATATGCATAATATGAACCACAAGCCCTTTAATTAATGATGTTTTTTTTTTTTACATTCACACTCTCTAAAACTGATCTAATCCATGACTTCATTATCAGGAATCCAGTAATAAGGGCGGATGGTGCAGTGAGGTAATTTGCTGCAATATGGCTTTTATTTGCTGCTGAATTATTAACAGCACACTGTCAACCATGAGACTGTCACACTTGTACAAGAGATCGAAGAAAAAACTGTAGAGCTCGAAATGACAGGTCAGCTCATGATGTCACCAGATCTGTCAGCTCTCATAGGGTGACTCAGTCAGGCTTGCCAGCAGTCGAAGCTGCATCAGTAAATGAATCATACTCCGAGCTTATTTCACTCTTTGGAATCTCAGAAAGTCTCATGAAGTATGGATGGATGACAGTATTTCCACATCAGCGGGCACTGGCTTCAGTGTCAGGGGAACTTGTAAAATCCAGGGTCAGAGATTGAGCTTGTTATGATAAGACCATAGTGAGCAGTGTAATGGATTGTCATTCAAAAGCAAGAGGAGGGAGAGTGGTGAGACCTCCCACATAAGGGAGCTCAGACAGACAGTACGATACACAGAGTAAGAGGATGACCTTTTTCAGAGTTGATGTCCAGAGCGAGCGAAGGAGTCAGATAGTTCTAAGTAACCTTCACGCTGTGCCGCGCTTTTTTCATCTCTCTTTATCGCTGTCTTTGTCTGTCTTTGTCTGGGGTTTCATTGCCGACGTTGGGTCAGTCAGAGGAACAGGCCAGGTCACCTTCTTTGTTTGACAGGTAAGATGAATAAATCCATCCAGTGGAGAAACCTTCCCACTCAAATCCTGGCAGTTTGTGGAAGAAAGGCTTCAGGGACCTGCAGCTATTTTTACTCTAAAAATAACAACATCTCACTGGGCAAAGGGGCACTGCACAAGGGGTCCATTTTTTAACTATTTCCAAAAATAAAAAAAATCAAACCCCATAGATGTTTTTTTAACTATTGGGTATTCTCTCAAATTTCAGTTATCGTTAGTCATTGTTTGGTAACAAAAATACATAATACACAAATTATGCTCTGATCATATCATGGAATGGAAGAAAGCAAAGATTTCTTGCGAGTATGTCGCCTGCTTATTGTATACTTATAGTTTTCATTCATTACTAGCTTTTCATTCATTATTGGCTCTTCCAGCAAGTCCTCAAATGAAACAACAAAACGCAATGTTTGTATTTGCCCTCCAGAATAACACATATGAGCATTTTGTGACATTATGGCAGAATAAGCAGGACATGCATAATTTGTCATTGCCAGAGTCAGAAAATTTGAGTTAAAAGAAACCGATGTTGACGGTCGGTAGGAAACGGGAGATGAACTGTGATCTTCCATGTCAAAGCCTTCCATTTTCAGAAACATCTGAGCTTCCAGGTCATAATTACATCTTGTAAAGCATCCGATCTATATTCCCATTTCAGTCAGCCCTCCGTATCCATCTCCTTCCATCTCAAAAGAGGAAGGCACACCACACTGTTTTAGTTCCGAATACAGTCAGTGTTAACTAGGGTCTCACCCTCCTGACCTCCAGGGCCACCGAGAAGTGGTTGTATGTGCAACAGCTATTTATCAGTCTCCCCTCTCACCCCTGTTGCTGTGCACTCACAAGCTGGTACCATCCACCAGGCTGGGATTCTTTGTTTGTATCAGCAAATGTAATTCATTTCAGGAGGCAGACGGTGCACTGTGTGGGGGAGAGGCAGCTTATTGGGCCTGATGGATGGAGGGCCACGGGACGCTGACAGGGCGGCAGCCTTGGTATGAAAGAACAGATGAACCTCAAACATCTCATACTGGCTTACTATTCATAATTATTTTGAACTTAATTATTATCTGGTTTTACAATTCTGACGTTAAGGTGTTTGTGAAGATTCAAACCTTTTTAAAAAAGTTTTTAATGTTGTATGTATTGAATTCATGAAACTGCCCAAGAGGAACATCAAATCAATAAACGTCTGCAAAAATACAAATTACAGTATTGTAGTTGTTCAGCTCTGCTGCTCAACACTCGCACAATGTTTACAAGAGAACATCCACTTAACTCGCTTTTTCTTCACTTTTGGAGTAATGATTTTCTGTGATGAATGAGCTCAGTGCACAAAGACTGAAATAATGAAGGAGGCACATTGAACACGCTGTACACTTGGCAACATAAATGCATATTAAATCCTCTTTGCTCTCGCTGAATGCATTAAACATCTTCTCCATGATGCTACATGCTAGTTAGATCACTGGTTGCTAAAACTTTAAACCCCCTTTCTGAATCAACTTCTTACCTTCCTGATAGGATCGTACATGAGCACACTGTTTTCTGCCAAAGTTAGAACAGCTTTTGTTATTTCACTGTTTTTATTTCTTTCCTCAATGCCCCTCTCACAGGTTGGAAGAGGACGGGGCAGAGTTGGAAAAAGGTGATGTCACATACTTTCATCCATCAATCAGGATTTGATCAGAATCTGGTGAGCTGTTTGTTTGCACTCCAGATAAAGTACTTTTCAATTACCTAAAGATGTTTTTCAAGCTTTACTGCTTATTTAGCCATGAAATTGTAATGTTACAGATAAATACTTAAAGGTCCAGTGTGTCATATCTAGGACAATCTGTTTGCAGAAATGGAATATGCAAAACTGTTTTCATTAGTGTATAACTCAAGATGAAAATTGTTGTGTTTTTGTTATGTTATTATTTATATCTACTAATGCCACAGGTCACCTTCCACGGAGGCCACCATGTTGAACCATCATGTTTCTACATTTTCCCTTTAAGATTTGATAAGTTTTGAACTTTAAATTCTGTGTGTGCTACTTTTCGGCCTGATATTTCACTGTGAAAATTGTCTCCCATTTGTTGTCAATCTTTGCAGCAGCATGAGGCAGCCTGCAGTTATACCCTGGGGACTATTTTCGACCAAATACGCTAGAATAGAAGGAGCCCCATGATCTAAGTTAATGACCTAAAATTAGGAAATAAAAATGTCTTTTGCACTTTCCTGTCTATTTTTTCATTTGTTCTTGGAACAGTTCCTGCAATGGAGAATAACACATAGGCTGTAGGCTATACTCAAAGGCCCAAACACTCAAAGGTCAGAACATGGAAGAACAACAAATTGGGACTTCTGTCACAGTACAGTATGCTGCGAACTATTCACACATAGACACAACAGAGACAGTTTGATTTATAAACAGGAAGTTGTTGGTGCTATGACAGCTATAGCTCTGTGTTGTTGTTCTGACTTTAATGATGAAGCATTACTGTTTCACTGTAGTTATGGTGGTTTATTTGATCTAGCTAGCTAATTACAGAATCCAGACAGCTTCATTGTAATTTGTGCAGAATTATGTTTTTCTAACACTTTATCTTCATCTTCTTCCACTCAGCAACTTTCAACAACACGCAGGTAGTTTCAGCATGCAATCGCCTACTGTCTGTGTTTTCCTGTGTCTGCTCGTATGATCACAGTATTGGAAACTGTTTACAGATACAAATCTGTTGCCAAACAACAGTAATGAAGTATATGGCCCAACCTCAGTCTTAACCAATGAAGTGACAAAACCTTTAATCAAATCATTAACCTAAGCAAAGTTGTTTTCATTGCCTTCACCTAATTGCTCACCTTCAAATCTGTCTTTTCCTTTTTCTTTCTTCGTGGTATCTATTTGTGTGAATTAAATAAATAAAATAAAAAAGATATTTTGGAGAGGTGCTGCAGAGTTTTTGGCATTTCAAGCCAAACCCATTGGGCTCTTTGTAAAGAGAACAGATTGATGGTGCCTTTCAAGTCGAGGTAATTACATTTTTCCACAAACACACCATCCTCTCGATAAGCATAAGTGATGAAGGAAGTCACTGATGTGTCTGTTGATTGGGTTCAAATCAAACAGCCTTTCATGATGCTTCTAGCTGTGTTTGGGTTTGCTGCTTGTGTCTGTGTGCATAATATCGTGCGCCTCATTGACTTGAGCGAAGCTAATAAAGTAACTGTAAAGACTGTATAAATGCTTACTGAGACTCGTCTTATTATGAGAACCTGTCTGTTTGTGTGTTAATTAAAGTGTATGACTATATGTGCCATCTGCGAGTTGCAGAACAATGTAAAGAGCATGACGGCTTTGTGCATGCTTCTCTGTAATCCTCATGTCAAAAATAAGCACCGTATATGAATATGTAATGTTGTCAGCTATGTTCATTTTAACATGTAAAAAATAAAAAATACTGACTTAATTCCAGCCCACTATCCTCGGAATTAGGTTCATATTGGAATTGTTCAGTTGTGTACCTCATGATTTTCATGCAATGTCAATATTCAGTACAACTGCAGGAAATGTAAGCTGTATTCTCATATGACCTCCGGAGAGTCAGGTCTGGACATTGTCAGGAGTTGCCTACACAACAGGAGTTTGTCCGTGACAGACCGGTTCTCACGTACTGGAATTACTCCGTTTGGTTTAAGTGAGACGTCCATGCAACGTCATCAATATGCCCACTTGCTCTCTGTGAATTCTCCGGACAATGTCTATGTTTTTTTCACACATGGGCTCAATTGGACATTACCCAGACTTTGTACTAGGGAGCTGGCAGAGTTATTTTAATGTCTGTTCTAACTGATTCAGACATTTGCATTCACACATACAGCTTGTCCGGGTAATGTCCAGAAAAGTAAGCACAAAGACTGAATACAGGAGAAAACTGCTTGCCCAGCTCTGTTTGACGGTAACAAAATCCGCCTACCAGCTGAAACTAAAGCTCACTAATTAGCATGTTATATATCATCTGATTAATCTGTACAAAACCCAAAAAGTAAAAAATATTGTTTTACAGTGAATTATATGCCAGACTCTGTCTTGGCTAATATAACCCACCATTAAAACTACAAAATGTTTTTACTCTTTGTTTTTTTCTTCTCTCTCTCTCTCTCTCTCTCTCTCTCTCTCTCTCTTCTCTTTCAATTTTTTCATGTTAACTTATTATTTATTTTATGTTAAACTAGCCAACAGTTTTCTAGCTTCTCACCAAACACCATCAAAACAAGGTTTCTCCTGAAATATCAAACTTTTGCTCTAACCATACAGCAGTTTTCAGATATTATAGAAAGTGAGAATTTGAAAAACATTCACATTGATTATCCTGGGTTTTGCAGAATCATCAAATATCAGCGTTCTCATTTGACTGTTTTAATTTCACAGTATATACAGTACATGGCCATACCACAGTGTTATCATACGTCTTTGCATGTGCATGTTGCCGTGTGCATACTTGTGTCTGCCCTTGAGTGTGCTCGTAAACTGCTTCACTCTGACTAACAGCTTATCGTGACCTTGCAGTCTCTTGGCAGCAGGTTGAGTAAGTGCTTCATTATGAAAACCAGCAGCAGCAGGTCCCTCAGTGTTACGCACACTGTCCACCCAGGAGTCTAAATCACCTGGTCGTATAGGGAAAGCATTTAAGCCGTCTTTAATAATGATTAATACACCTCCACCACAACACAAAATAGGTCTCCAAACACCATCATCCATCACCAATATGAAACTCCATTCTCTATAACGCTTAAATTATATTCATTAGTGAAGCCTGCGGCACAGCGGCTGCTCGGGAGGTGGCCTGGCCAGTGGTAATTGTTCTTATATCAATCTTATATGTGTTTGGAAAATAAAACAAAATAAATTAGGAAAAATGAGAGTGGGAGCTGGTTTCACTACAAATCCAGTAAACAGTTTTATTGAGCAGGAGAGCACCCATAATACCCTTTCAACACTAAAAGACTCATGTTTCCCAACACAAAGCTGATCCATGTGAGGGACCCTTTTACACAATATCTGAAGACCAGTGATATCACAGTCATATCATCAGTGGTCAGCCAGTAATCTGACCTTTTTTTTTTTTTTTTTTTTACAAGACATTCCATTTTAATGTTCATGTCTGACCTTGAATTAATTCTGTATGCACTATGATTTTAAAGTCCATCATTGATCACCCACAATACCTGTGGCTACATTTCCCTTGAAGTGGTGAATTTGTAAATAATAAACAGTCAATATAGGGTTAGGGGAGGAATGCTACCTGATTATTTGCAATCAATCTCTCATTATATGCACACACACACACACACACCCACAAATGTGTATGGAAAGACACATGCACACTATCTTTCATCCATCCACATGTGTTTTATTCGTGGGATGTACTGGCTCACTTTGAAACAAGGATTTGTAACACCTGGAGTCTCTCAAATCAGAACCTGGTGTGATGTGCTGGTGATTGTGCTAAATATGCAGTGAAAATGGCTCTGTAAACACCAAACAGCAGTGTGCTGCTGATAGTAAAAGGAGGAAAAGTGAAAACAAAGGAGTAAAGTCTAATAAAGTTAGGGTTAAAAATGTTATTTAGGAAGTACTTGTACTTCACCTTTATGCCAATAATTAGAAATGTTTGGATATTAAAGACATAATCTTCTTTCAGTCTCTGCTAGCGTTATGAATAGATTTACTATTGCTGAACAAACAAAGAAAAGATTGAATAATACAGATGCTGAAAGGTGTACAATGTTTGGATCTCTGGAAAGTGAGGTCCAAAAATACAACTGTAATTACCCCATATCGCCAAATGTGCATAGGAGTATGATCTTTAAGTATAAGAGCCAGGAGGCAATTAGCTTCAGTTAGCATTAAGACTGAAAGCAGGGGGAAACAGTTAGCCAGTAAAAATCACAATTTTGGGTTTTTGGTTACAGTGACTTCCTGCAGTCTTGTCAACACCCTGACTTGTAGTTCAGCAAGAAATAGTTACAGCATGTGACATTTTACATTTCTCTATGTGCAGATTAAACTAATGGAACTTGTGGTGGTAGAAATATTTTGGAACTTTGGAAAGAGCCTGGCTAACTAAGTTTCCTTGCACTAACTATCACAGACTTTCTCATCTGAATCGCAGGAGACGGGCTAAAATGTCTCTTTTTTGTGATATGGGCAGGTGTTTATATGTGTTTGTGCACTGAAGACATTTTTGCATTTTTAAACATCTTGTTTTCCAACATTTCATGAAATGTTCAGACATACCACCAGCCCTGTTCAATCAAACACACCCTCTCATAGCTGTTATGGGAATCACTTTGTGCTGGTTTAACAGAGCCTGGCTAAATATCACACCCACGTTCTGAATTCCTTAACTTCATCCTGAAACGAGTTGGAGGCACATGATAATGATCCAGCACAGACAGCGGTACAAACACCACAGATGTGCAGAGCGACTAGAAATGGAGTGCACACAAAGCCAACACTTTTCACAAAACTGCTGAGGAAGCCAGGAATATCTCCCCAGCAGCTTTTGATGGTGTTGTTCTCCTCTTCCTTTATCCCTCCTTATAATCCACCCTGAGAATTTCTGAGAGGTGTTTGGGTAAATTGCCACAGCTGTGTCGCCATTAGCCCTGGGTGGTTCGACACCTCCATCAGACCTACAAACACTGGCCAGCA